AAGCCCTAGTCATTCCAACCATTCCTCATATAACTTGCCCAATTAGTCTGGTAAACTTTCTCTGAATTGCCTCTAGAGTTTACATCCTTCCTTAAATAAGGTGACCAATCCATTACGCAGTACTCCAAATGAGATCCCACCAGTGCCCCGAATAACTGAAGCATAATCTGCCTACTTTCGTATTGAATTCTTGTCATAAATATTAACAACATTATACTAGCTATCTGCATACTAATCTCCGGACTGTCTCAAATTCCAGGACAGACTAATCTCCCACCATTTAAATAACAGATTATTAGATAAGAAAACATAACATTATGGGGCGACAGGAAGGAAAGTAGAGCTGAGGCAACAAATCAGATCAGTAATTATCTTAATGAAAGGCTAAGCAGGGTAAAAGGAGCTGAATGACCTACTCCTGTTCTCAATTCCTATGTTTGTACGAGTAAGTGTCACCTGTTTATTTCTACAAAAGGTGGTGATATTGAGATTCATCAGTCATAGTTCTAACAATTAGTAAATTTTGGTTAAGTAATTCTTTTTGTAACTCACCTCTCAATCGTTCTCAGGCACAATTAGGGATGGGCAATAAATGCTGGCTTTGTCAGCGATACCCATGTCCCATGAACAACTGATAAAGATAACGAATGTCTGAGAATTCGGGTCAGACTGTTCAAGAGACACCTTAGGAAGCACTTCTACACAAAGAATAGTAACAGATTTGGAACTGTCTTCTACAAAAGGGCAGTGGATGCTAAATTAATTGATAATTTTAAATCTGAGATAAATAATTTCTGTTAAGCAAAGGTATTAAGGGATACAGGTCGAAGGCGGGCATATTGAGTTTGGTCACAGATGCACCAGACTCCGGCAACAAATTATTAAATAATACCACAGATATCTTATGGATGGGGTGCGTTTAATATGGGTGCGTTTAATTTATTCAACATAATTTTTAAAAAATTTTAAATGCACATATGTTTTTGTTCTGTTCACTTGTCAATTACGTCTACTTGTTCTCTCTCCCTGTTTTTTAACCATCTCTCTGGTGTTACTTGGAGTATTATCTTGTCTCTCTCGAAGGCCCTTTTCCATTACAGCACTTTTTTAAAGACTGAAGAGACTGCAAAATATTTTACTTTTTTTAAAAATGTTCCTTTATAATTTAGTAATCCCTCTTGCCTTCCCAATTGTTTCTTGATTCTCTCAGACTCTTTTGTAGTCTCTCATCAGGTGTTCATCTGCTGTCAATGTACTTTATGACCCTTTCCTAACCTTCATTTATCCTCTAATGTCTTTATTCATCTATCAATTTATGTCCATTTGGTTTTTTTCCTTGAGAGGAACTGGTTTTCCAGCACTCTGTTGAACAATTTTAAATATTCCCCATTCATTTCTTGCCAACATAATTGCCCATTTCAATTTTTCCAGTTCTATTCTCAACCCATTGTTTTTCTCCAATCTATTAACTTGTCCAATTAATGCCAGCGTTATTCTCAAAATTGATCTAAAAGTATATACTACGGACACTACAGCCTATACGTTCCTCTGTTTATTATTGTCGCAACTTCTGTTATTCATTCTTCATTGCTGGATCAAATAGCCAATCTTGCCTTTCTTGGCATTTCCTGATATTGAACTGGAATGGAGGTCCTCCATTCTCTTATCTCCTTTACCCAATTCTGTCCAATTAAGATCAGGGTAGTTGAAATCCTCCATGATTATTATTCTATCCTTCCTACTCAATCCTTAGTGGGTCTTCCTTCGCCAGCCATAACAGATCAGCAGAACATCCTCCACCAACTTTGAGGTAGTAGGTGGAACTGCAAAACTGACCGCAGTCAACAGAGGAACAACGCAGGGGAGCTGAATTTCATTGACCATAGTGGATATCACCCCCTCACCCCAACCCAGGACAAACCCTGCAGCTCCCTCCATGCTGCCTCCACCAACCATTAGCCATAACCCACATGCTACTGGCCAAGGTAAGGGGAAGAAAAGCAGAGGGCCCGCAGCCAGCCACGAGGAGCAGTCGCACTGAATGGGAGCAACCATTGTCTCCAGTGAAAGATGTCACCAGTTAACAGTTATGACTATTGAATCAATGTTTCAATTAAAGTAATTTCAATTAAAGTTATGATTTTCAGGAAAACATTTACAGCCTTAAGTGAGGACTTACTGTATCATCCCAAATAAGTACAGCTGTTTTCCCTCCCAAGATTTAATTATTACAGCCTGCAATGTTTAATGCAGAATCAAGTTTCTTCTGCAACTCTCTCTTGCTCAGCATTGTATGTGTCTGGCTTCTTCCAACATATGGTTCCCTTCAATTCTGTCTTATTACAAACACCATGTTCAATGCTGTTCAAGCATTTTAACTCACTTTTGAGAAGATTTCCTCTCATTGTTTAAACTATATTTTTGGATTCCCACCCTTTAACTATTCATCTCCTTGCCATCCATGTCATCCCTTACTTTTTTCAGAATCACTGAAGTGTTATGGCACAGGAGGAGGCCATTCAGTCCACCAGGTCTGCACCAGTCTCCTGCTCTTGCCCAGTACCCTTGCAAATGTTTTTTCATCCAAATAATCATCCAATGCTCTCTTGAATGCCTCACTGAACCTGCCTCCATCAAATTCCAGGCAGTGTATTCCTTATCCCAACTACTCGCTGAGTGAAAAGGCTTTCCCTTACTTTACATTTGCTTCTTTTGCAAATCATTTGTTCTTTTACAAGGAGGAACAGGTTCTCCTCATTTAATCTATCCAGTTTAATAAGTGATTTATACAGGTTTACTATCACCTCCTTGTTCTTGTCCTCGAATAATAAAACCAAGGTTACTATATGTTACCTACAGGTCTCACTACCTGCCCTGTCACTTTCAATGATCTATACACATATACCCCGGGTCCCTCTGTTCTACCCACCCAAGAACCGTACACCCTATTTAGTTTATCTTTCAATATTCTGCCTAGCAAAATGCATCACCTCATTTTTCTGCATTGAAACTCACATGCCATCTATCTGCTCAATCCAACAATCTATGTCCTCCTAGAATTTCACACAGTTTTCCCCAATTTACAAAAATTTCCAATGATTCCTTGCCTGTTTTGTTCACATCAAGGTTGCATTATATTTCTTGCAGATCACAGTCTCTCCAACCTCACTCATCCCATTTATTAATTTGAGGCTTTTGCTACTTTCGTATTTATCTCTTTTACAAGGACATGGGACCAATCCTGGTTCAAGTGAAGCCCAGTTCACCAGTACAGCTCATTCTCAATACAGAATTGGCATCAGTTTCTCATGAAAAGACATCCCTCTTTACTGTAAGGGCTCTTTAGCCATACATTCAAATGCCTGATCCACCTGCTGTCATGTCATTCTGCATACAGCTCAGGCAATAATCCTAAGATTACTAGAGTTCCTGATTTTCAAAAATTAGAGCCTAAACCCTAATACTCTTTCACACAAATTTCTGCCCTGTTCCCATCTCTGTCACTTGCTCCAATGTTGATCACGTAAACCAAATTTACCCTCTCCGTACCCAAATTCCCCTCCATCTACCTTAAGATATCAGTTATCCTGACAGTGGTCAGTGGTCAGTCAGCACATCTTTCAAGACTCTTCTTCAACTGCAGAGGGGACTTTCTAGCCCCAGAATTATAGTCTTCCATTACTTCCACATCTCTAATCTGCTCTTCCCATTGCAGCCACGGTCTTCACCTCCATGCACTCTGTACAGCCTTATGAACCACATTACTTCAGTCTGCATTGTCTGTTATCTTTGCAGTCTTTCTTCTTGTCCACACATGTAGCAAGTGCATCCTCTGTTTGGCAAGGGATCTCCTGGATCTCTCCTGAATCCCATTTCCAGTCACACCTTTCATTTCCTGAACCTGTATTTCCTGCTGGGTTCTGATTAAATTATGATGGATGAAACTGCCTAAAAACTCCTCCACTTCCCTTTTGTGTCAGAACCTCTCCAACTCTCTGGTCAGTCATTGACTCTGTGCCAGAGTTTCAAGGTGATAATAGCTCCAACAGATGTGTTTGCCTGGTTCAGTCTTACTGTTCAAAAGCTTAAATTAGTTATATCTACTGCAGAATGTTGAGATAGTTATGCCATAAATTTAACAGAATACCTAGATTTTTCCTGGTCCCAATTCAAACGATTTGTCCTAGTTTAGAAAAATGAGAAGATATAACTCAACCAATCTTTTACCCAATTACTGATCAGCTAATTAAACAAAACAAAGAAATGCAAATGCTCAAAATTTGAAACAAAAGCAGAAATTGCTGGAGAAACCCAGCAGATTTGGCAGCATCTATGAAGAGAAAACAGGGTTAACGTTTCAAGTTCAGTGTCGATTCTTCAGAATTGATGGTAACTAGGAAAATGTGGTATAGCAAAGATATCGTGAAACTAGGAAGTGTTCAGAAAAGACTTACAAAAGGATGTTGCCAGGGTTGGAGGGTTTGAGGTATAGGGAGAGGCTGAATAGGCTGGGGCTATTTTCCCTGGAGCCAATGATCAGTGACCTTATACGTGTTTATATACGAGAGGCATGGATAGGGTGGATAGCCAAGGTCTTTTCCCCAGGGTAAGGGAGTCAAAACTAGAGGGCAAAGGTTTAAAGGTGAGGGGAAAGATTTAAAGGGGACCCAAGGAGCAACTTTTTCAAGCATAGAATGAGCTGCTAGAGGTGGAGGAGGGTGGTACAATTAAACATTTAAAAGGCATCTGCATGGGTAAATGAATAGGAAGGCATGAAGTATATTGAAAATTGTGTGATTAAGCTACAGTAAAGCAAGTGTTAAATTTATAAAGGTTATTGCAAAAAGCTGTCTTGCAGGTGCAATCAAAACTAACAGTTGGTTCAAAGCAGATATGGAAGTACGTGACCAACAGACTGTTAGATCTTGTAGTCAGGGTGTATGGAACAGTTTGCAGGTATGTCACGGGAAGATATCGTAGAATAGATTAACAGAACATACTGACCATTATTTGCGGTTTCAGGGAAGATCATGTAAAAATGTATAAGAAGCACGATTAAAGCTGTTGCTGCAGAACTCTCAACTGTAGTTTATATACAAAAAATAAAAACTAGATATTTGAGAAGATCGCAGACTCGCTCTTCATTTCTTAGGAACCCAACAGAAGGCCCATTTCCATCCAAACCCACATGCTGGCAAACAGGACATGTAGAACATCTACATGTTAATGTGGAACATCTGGTCAGCATGGACAAGTTGGACTGAAGGCTCTATTTCCATGCTGTAAATCTAACTATATTGTAGACAGGAGCGGGTGGAATAAGGAATAAACGGATTGGTGAAAATGGAGTCGAGAGGGGCAGAACAGTAGTTAGGCAGACAAAGAGATGGATGATAAAATACCAGGGAGAAAGAAAAGCCGCTATTGAGGACCACAAATAGGTGAAAATGGGTTGGTTGTGCTGAAAGCAGCCCTTGTCATGACAGAGCCTGGAATATGGGGGTGGGTAAAGGACATAGAAGGTGGTGTTCAAATTCTAAAATTATTGAACTCAATAGAACTCCTAAAGACTGCAAGGTCCCCAAGTGAAAATAAGATGTTCTTTTTCCAACTTGCACTGAGCCTCACTGAAACACTACAGCAGGCCCAAGATAGAAAGGCTGGCCAGGGACAACAGTGGTGTGTTGAAGTGGCAGGCAACTAGAAGCTTGGGTAATTTTTACGGACAGAATGTAGGTGTTCCACAAAACAACTGTCCTGTCTGCGTACAGGAGGCCATATCACAAGCGCCGAATTCATTAGACTGAGTAAGTGCAGGTAGAACGCTGCTTACGTGGAAGGCGTGTCAGGAACCTTCTATACAGAAGGAGGTAGTAAATAAACAGCTGTTACGCTTTCTGTAATTAAAGGAGATGATGCCCTGGGATTGTGGGGCGGTGTTGGCAGTGGAGGAAGAGTTGACCAGTGTGTCCTGGACAAAATAGTCCCTGCAAAATAACAATGAGGGGAGGGGAATACGCCTCTCATAGTGGCATCCCACTGGAGGTGGTGGATCATAATCCTGATGGGCTCCTAATTAAAACGCCTCTGGAATTTTCTGAAGAAGGGTCCAGACCCAAAATGTCAGCTTTCCTGCTCTTCTGATGCTGCTTGGCCTGCTGTGTTCATCCAGCTCTACACCTTTATCTTAGAGAGTTAACGGTAGTTGTCTTTTCCCTAGGATGGGAGATTTCAAGACTAGTGGGCACATTAAGGCAAGAGGAGAGAAATTTTAAAAGACATGAGGACCAAGCTTTTTTTTAAAACAGAAGGTGGTTCGCATGTGGAATGAACTTCCTGAGGAAGTGGTGGATGTGGGTACAATTACAAGGTTTAAAAGAAATTTGGATAAGTACATGAATAGGAAGGGTTGGGAGGGATATTGACCAGGAGCAGGCAGGTGGAACTAGTTGAGGTTAGGATTATGTTCGGCATGGACTGGTTGGATCGAAGGGTCTGTTTCTGTACTGTATGACTCCATATATGGTCTCAGAAAGGGAGTGGGAGATACTTTGACTCGAGCTGCAATTCAGCATCTGGTGACACCCAAGAGCATACACAGTAGCAACGAAATCTCAGAAATAAACTGAAGACTCTTAAAAATGAAAAACAGACATAGGCGAAGAGAAAAGGCTATTAAGTAAGAATAGAACATTTTTAACTTCAAAAAAAGAAAAAAAAAGCAGCTTGGAGGGGAGCATACACAGTTAGGTAATAAGAAACTGTGTGCCTGCCACTATTATGGAGCTTGGTACCACTGATAAGTTATCTGTTCTTTTAGTCTTTAAAAGGTAAAATGCTATGGAAAACATCTAAAATTGAATGCTCAATACAAAAATCCAAATTAATTAAACCTTACTTTAGAAACAGATCAGTTTCTTCTTCATTGCAACTGGGTCAAAGCCCTTAAACTCCCTACCTAACAGCACTATGGGATAACCTTCACCATATGGATTGCACCAAATCAGGAAAACATTTCATTATCACTTTCAGAACAAAACCTTGCCAGCAATGTCTAAATCCCCAAAGAATTAAAACAAACTTGAATGAATAGCAACTGCATCCTCATTACAATCAGAAGATTTATTCTTTCAGCTAATTGCAAACGGTTAAACCAGTCGTACCTTCATAATGTAAAAAATGTACAAAAGATGTGGAAATATTAAACTTGGGTGATTAATCTGTATCTAATAAAAAGTACAATTTAACATGTGTTGTTAGACTGCAACAAATACTAATAACTATTAAGTGTAGCAGGGAACAAAACATCTTTAAATCCCCTTGTGAAATTTGTCCTTTTAAGCACCATGCTTTTTGAAATATCTTCCTTTCATAAGAAACCTTGGAACAGGTGCACTTTTCAAATCCTGAATGTGTCAGAGGTTGCTGGTAGTTTCTAATGAACTGGTATTTTCACATGCGTTTCCCTTGTGACATGGGTACAACCATAGCAGACAGGACACGCATGAGCAGCTGTCCTCCTCATGTTGCTCATGAGTTCCAACTAAAAGGGAACATGTGCAAAAAAAAAATCACCAAAGTTCGATCACCTTTCCCCTTCCAATTTCAACAAGGCACAGATCATTCCACAGAATCATATTAACATTGCATATTTATAGATGCAGAACATTTTTCACAGCTAAATAAACCACAAAAGCATTACAGCTTTAGAGTTACTAAAACCTATATCAATGGGAAGGAGCCAAGGTGAGCATGGAGGTGAAGTAAGATCAGAGTGCCTACCCAAATCAACAACCGTCGCAATGTCTAGCTGCATGCAAAATCAGCATCGACAGCAGCAAATACATTCCCTCATCCTGGAAACCTTTTAATAGAAATGCTTCAAAGTTCCACTCCCCATCACAAGACAGAACTCTTCACTGGGTCAGCAGTTCTTTTGGCACTGAACATTGAGAGAGTGCCAAACCTGAATGTACACACGATCATGATTCTAGGACTGGAGTTTTCAGCACCAGACAGGTACCGATACCCCATAGCCATATCCACAGACACCCCTAACCTCACACCCAACAGACATCCCACTCCCCCAACCTCCTTCATATCAATTACCCATACTAACATTCACACCACTGACCTGACCCCTTCATAATGTAATCCCACCCACACTCACTGACACCAACACCTCTCACCCAACACACAGACAGAGCCCCCTATCTGATCTCCCACATTCTTTCTGCCCCAACCTGATCTCCTTCCCCATACTCTCCCAGCCCATAACCAGATCCCCCTCCTACATAGTTACCCCAAAGTTATCCCACTGAGATCCCAAACAGCAAGACAATATCCAGAATATTGAGTTTTTGTTCAGTTCTGTTCAGAAGAAGGAAGCTTACATTTAGCATGGACCCATCTCAGGGATGTTTCTAATAGCGGAGGTGCAAACATTGGCAACACTGGGGAACATCTCTCCAGAGTACTATCAATGAGATGTTTTGCTTTTGTCCGAGGGGCAGATTGTCACTAGGTTTAACATCTTATTCAAAAGGTGGTACAACTGGCTCAGTCAGTGTCAGCCCAGATTACTGCCTCATAGGTATTCTATTAATGGCAACATGAAAGCCAAAGCAGATCCTGTCTTCATCCTACACTCTACCACACCAATGTAAAATGCTTTATGGGTAGAACAGCTCAGTGGTTTTGTTATGGAACAAACAATCCAGGGTCTGGACTATTGATCCAGAGACCAGAGCTCAAATCCCACTATTAAAGCTGACCTTTGCACAGGAACATAGGAACAGGGGTAGGCCATTCAACCCCTCGAGCCTGTTCTGCCATTCAATACCATTCAATAACTGATCTGTGGCCTAACTTCATATACCAACCTTTGGCTCACATCCCCCAAAATAACCAGAAATTTTAAAAAAATCTCAGTAATAGAGTCTATGAAATTGCTGGATTGTTGTAAAAACCCTACCTAGTTCACCAACATTAAAGAAGGAAATCTGACAGTCTGGCCTATGTGACTCCTGGATCACAACAATACAGCTTACATTTAACTGCACTTTGAAGTGGCCTGGCAAGCTACTGAAACGTCACGAAGGCTGTTCACTATCAATTAGGGGCAATGATTTTTTTTTTTAAAAAAAGTAATGACTATATTCAGCAAATTAATGCAAATGAACAAATGCTAATATGGTCACGGAGGTCTTTAAATTGATCTTTTGACTGGGAATTTCTCTAGGGGAAATAATCTGAAAAAGTGAACCCTCAAAGCACTCCTTGATTTTGACAGAGAACTTTGCCCAACTTTCCACATGTCATCATTCATATAAGCATCATCTGTAAAGCTGCATAATTGACTCACTCGGCTAGTCACTGAACAGGGCTAATAAAGGCATCCCATGTCTAAGTGGAATCCCATAAAATGAAATATTAAAAAAATCTTTAGAGCTAGGCTGATCAGCACAAGGTTAACACACCTTTCTCTTGCAATTTTATACAGCTTTTGCTTATTAACTACACTGCACACGAGAATTTGGTTCAAATGTGACAAACTTTGCTGAACACAGGCAATTGTTGGAACTTTGAATTATAAAGGTTGGGGCTTTATAGTTTTAGGAATGGGAACTGCTTTGAGTGACAAGACTTTGAGATCAGCCAGAAGATCACCAAGATTCAAGTGATTCACTAGCGTGTAAATTCCAGTCCTTCGAGTTACTGAATGCCATTTTGTGCAGATTCTGCTGATGTACAAGTGGACTTTTAGGACAAATGAGCTTTTGAAGTTCATTCAATTAACTATGCACTGCACGTGATTATCAGCAAAAGTGCAAAATTTGCCCTTGCAATTAAATCATTTTTAAAATCTGAATTAATCTACTCCAAGAGTCAGCATTAACCCCTAAAATAACTGATGTGCAGTAATGCTAATATTAAAGATTAAACAGTGATGCTGTTTGAATCTCCAGCAGTTAATAACCAAGGTATTTAGGATTCTTCTCACCCTTAGAGATGCATAGTCACTGCGCAGATACATTTTGTTTGATGTGCAAATAACCATCAGTATTTGAGATTTTAACCTGACAACCTGGTTTCCTTCTCGTCACCAAGAAACAAATCTTTCACTAACCCAGTAATGGAGCCTTGTTCTGTAGCATTTCATTGTAACTAGCTGTCAGGATACCCACAGGGTTGCTGGGTACAAATAGTCCTTCTTGAACAAGTCGCTCACACGTTTGCATCAGTGTAGTGGAAAATTGGGATGGGTCCACACCATAGTCCCACCATCCTCCGACGCCATCTGCTACCCCTACAACAGAGAGAAACATTGTAATCAGCACTAGTCCTCTTTGAATTGGAGCTAGAATATTGTCTAAGGGAAGAGATAGAAGGAAAGTATTATGAAACAAAAGTCAACTGAAGCAACAAGGGGATATTTGATTAGAAGACCAAAATGTTGGTCAGGGACTGGTTTCAAGACCGAAAAAAACACAGGACAAGTATGCCATTCAGGCCATTGAATCTGCTCCACCATTCAATGAGATCATAACAAATCAAATAACCCTAACTTCACTTTCCAGTTTTTTCCTTAAGACCGTCAATCCCCTTAAATGGTTAAAAAAAAAATCTCTCTCTGCCTTGAATATACTTAATGATCTAGCCCTCAACAGTAAAGAATTTCACAGATTCACAACTCTCAGAAGAAATTCCTCCTTTGTCTTACAGGTGCGACCCTTTTAGGTCCTATTCTCTCCCACAAGGGAGAAACAGCCCCTCTGCATCTACCCTGTCAAATCCTCAAAGGATTGTGCATGTTTCAATAAAGGTCTCCTCTCATTCTTCTACATTCCAATGAGTACAGACCCAATCAAATCAGCCTCTCCTGATAAAGTCCCTCCTTACCTGGCATCAGCCAAGTGCTGCCTCCAATGCCAGCATATCTTTTCTTCGACAAGGGACCCAAAACTGTTCAGTATCCCAGCTGTGGTTTGATTTGGTGAAATTTTAGCAAAGCCTCCCTACTATTATAGTCCATTTCTTTAAAATAAAGGCTGACATTTCTTTTGCCTTCCTCCTTACTCGTTGAACTTGGATGCTACCTTTGTGATTCATGAGCAAGGACTCCCAAATCCATCTGTCTGTAGCTTTCTGCAATGGTTATCCAGTTAACTGACATTCAGCTCAGTTATTCTCCCTGCCAGAGTACACAGCCTCTCATTTCCCTACGTTACATTCCACCTGCTCAGATTTTGCCTACTCACTTAACTGGTCTGTATCCTCCTCAGGCTGTCATCCATGTAACTAACCTTCCCACTTCTTATTTTTGGGTCATCCACAAACTTCATGATAGGACACTCACTTTCCTCATTAGTCATTAATATATATTGTAAATAATTGTGAGCCCAGCAGCAAAACACCTGTGGTACATCACTAGTTACAAGTTTCCAGCCTGAAAATGCCCCCTTTATCCCAACTCTAGTTTTATTAATTAGCCAATCCTCTATCCATGCTAATATACTACCCCCAACACCATGGGCTCTTCTCATTAAATAGCCTGCATGGTATTCTATCAAAATGCCTTCTGAAAATCAAAATATATCACATCTACTACTTCCTCTATTTATCTGCTGGTTACCTCAAAGAATTCTAATAAGTATCAGGTATGATTTCATCCTTCATGAATCCATCTTGACTCTGCTATCACATCCTTTATAAAGGAACTCAAAACATTTTCCGAGTAAAAAGACACTAAGCTAGTTCATCTATAATTAGCTTTTCTTGGTCTTCTTCAACTTTTTATATTGGCAGTTTTCAAGGAGGGTTTCAAAGAAGGGAAGGGAGCTGGTGGAGGAATGTTTAGTCTCTAAACTTTAGAATTTGTTGGCCCCACCTCAAGCTGCTTACAGAACAAGTGATTAAAATCAGATGCCCAAGAGAACAGAATTTGAAGAGCACAGATATCCAAGGTAACAGCAGCACGGATTAGGCTTTCAGTGAAGTGTTGAGGAAGGGCAGAGTACTGTAATGTTATGGAGGTCAAATAGAGGGCAGAGTTATTTGGTCAAAAGCTCATCTTGGGATGCAAGATGCTCATCTTGCAAGCTTGCAAACAGTCTGGTGACACAGTTGATGAGAAGGATAGAAGTGTGAAATATGCGGTAGGGACGAAACACAATTGCTTCAGTCTTCTCAGTATTGAATACCATGCTGCCACACGATTCAAGGCTACCCACAATAATCTTCCCAAGGCAACTCAATAGGATGACAGTGTGGAGCTGGAGAAACATAGCAGGCCAGGCAGCAGGAAAGCTGACGTTTCAGGTCGGGGCTCTCCTTCAGAAATGGGGGATGAGGAAGGAAGCTCTGAAATAAATAGCTAGAGGAGGCGTGGGGCCAGGGATGGTGATAGGCGAGTGCAGGTAGGCAGTGGAGGGGATTGGTCAGTGAGGTGGGACAAGTGCAATCTCCCCACCCCCATCCCATGACCAACCCTCCCTCTCATTCCTGCCTCCTTGACCTGTCAGTCTTCTTTCCCACCTCACTGACCAATCCCCTCCACTGCCTACCTGCACTTACCCATCACCATCCCACCTACCATCCCCAGCCCCACCCCTCCTCTAGCTATTTATTTATTTCCGACCTCCCTTCCCCATTTCTGAAGAAGGGTCCCGACCCGAAACGTCAGCTTTCCTGCTCCTCTGATGCTGCCTGGTCTGCTGTGTTCCTCCAGCTCCACACTGAATCTCAGACTCCAGCATCGGCAGTTCTTACTATCTCAAGAGGATAATATGTTAGCCTCATAACCACATCATGAGAATGATTTAAAAATTCTCAGACAAACACAGAGCATAACTTCATGGGTTGATACTGCACTCAAACAAGACGACTTTTCTGTTCCCACAAATCAAATTTGCAAACAGCCCAACTGGGCTCCTGAAATGGTGGGAGAGACCAGTATCTACAATAAACCTACATAATCCACTGAAATAAACAAAACAGCAGACAAAACATTTTCCTAGCTGCAAATCATTCTCAAAAAAAAAAGGTGCTAGTCATTTCACCTGCAGCAAGCAAATTCATAAACCAAAACTTGATGCAATCAAATTGATTATTGCCACATAAATATTGATATAATAAACTCAGGTGCAGAGAATCAAATGTGAAAACACTCATGACAAAAATACTGTGCGCTTATGACTGAAGTTCCAATTTATTACCTCCACAACATCTTGTGGGTAATTCTCAATCTCTCTCAGCCAGGGTTTTAGTAACCTTCTGTTTGCACATTTCAGTAATTCTGGTTCCTTCTCAAACAACCCTATGGTGATAAGCAGAATTCTGCAGATGCCAGAAATCCAAAACAAAAAACAGACTTTGTTTGATTTTACCTAATAGCATAAAACCAGTTTTGAAGATTCTTTTGAACACTACCTTCAAATGAATAATTAGTGCTTTGTGTATTTTATGATGTGATCAGGTAGAGCTGGCAGTCAATATTACACCTCCCCTTCAGAACATTTGATCATGCTTATGACTTTCATGACCTAAATCACGACCAACTAACAATTCTGCTGTGACCCTCAAATAAAAGCACACACTGCACGATGAGTAATTTCCATAGCATCACATCATGCTTCGAAGATAGTCTGATACCTGCCAACTTTAAAATAATTCTTTTCTTTTTTTAAAAAAAGTACACGTTTCAGATTGAGATAGTTCATACTCCCTTTGTTTGTCCCACCTTTCATATCTTTCTCTACCAATCATAGAGAAAGCGAAATAAAAAGTCAGAAATTGCAGATGTTGAGGATGAATGCAACATTCAGTACCATTCACAACTCCTCAAATCATGTAGCAATCTGTGCCCACGTGCAAAGAAAAAAAACTGGACAGGTTAGTTTGGGATGGATTAATGGCAAGTGACACTTCTGCTGTACAAATGTCAGGCAATGGCCATCTCCACGAGTGCCTAACCATTTTTCTTTGGCATTCAAGGGCATTATGTATCACCAAATACCCCAACATCTTGGGATGCACCACTGACCAGATCTGAACTGGACCAATCATATAAATGCTGACAAGAACTGATTAGAGATTGGGTGCAGCACGTGATTTCACTTCCAAATTCCTCAAAATGAATCCACTATCTACAAGATAAAATTATGATAGAATACTGTCAACTTGCCTGGATCAGTAGAGTATAGTAGACATATAAGAGCACTTCTACCTGCAAGCTCCCCTCTAAGTCCCATACTATTCTGATTTGGGACAACACTGGTTTTCAGTATCCCGAGTCAAAATCCTAAAACACCCTCACCAAGAGCATGGTGGCTCCGCCTATACTATGTTGTCTGCAGCACTTCAAAAAGGCAGATCAAACACAACCTTCTCAAAGCCAGCATTTGTTGGTGATATAAATCAAGCGTCCATAAAAAGGTCAGTAATGGCAACATTGCTCATACAAAGAGACAGAGGTCGTCTCGTCAATGAGCCAATAACGCCAAAAGTAGTTTACTTTTTCCCAATTGTGGAAAAAGTTGAATCTACTACCTAATGCCAACTCTACCCACAATAAAATCGCATGGGGCTTGCCCACAAATTGATGCCAAGCAGCGTTTCAAAATAGCCAAGGAGGCCTCTCTGGAACATAATTTAAAATTATAAACATGCCCAATGTCAAAACAAAAAAAAAAAAAAACTTATTTTCTTTCACTGTTAATGCGAGAAGATGACTTTCTTCTTGAATTTGTTCACAGCTTACAATGGCCCACCTTATACAGAAAAAGGCATTGAAAAGTTTTGGAAATTAGCTCTGGAGAAACTGACTAACCTGGTTCTGCTTAGCATGCTGTTTTTGCAGAAGTGTTGTGCAACCACCATGTCATCAATGCAGTCAAGCATCTCCTCTGTTTTTATACTGGAGTACAAATTTTTTTTCTTCTATTCATTTGTGGGATATGGGCGTCACTGGTTGGTCAGCATTTCTTGCCCATCCCTAGCTGCCCTTGAGAAGGTGGTGGTGATGAGCTGCCTTCTTGAACCACTGAAGTTCTCCTGTTGTAGGTTGGCCACTAAGCTATTAAGGAAGGAATTCCAGGAATTTGACCCAGCAACAGTGAAGGAATGGTGATATTTCCAAATCAGGACGGTGAGTGGCTTGGGAGGGGAACTTGGATGTGGTAGTGTTCCCATATGTCTGCTGCCCTTGTTCTTCTAGATAAGAATGGTTGTGGGCTTGGAAGGTGCTGTCTGAGGATTTTGGTGAATTTCTGCAGTGCATCTTATAGACAGAGCACACTGCTGCTACTG